ATGGTTGGTATAATTTCAGTCTTAGTGTATCTGTTGATGTTTGTCTTGTGCCCCAGTTATGTGCTCGATCCTGGAGAATGATCTGTGTGCACTGAGAAAATGTGTACTCGTTTTTTGGGGTTTAGTGTTCTATCAGATGTCTGTTTTTCCCCAAATGCTCTAGGTCCTTATTTTAGAGCTTTAGTGCTTTACTTATTTTTGTTTTGTTGATCTATCCATTGTTGATAGTGGTGTGTTGAAGTATCCACTACGTATGTGTTTTCTCTGATGTCTGTTTTCAGAGAGGACAACAGTTGTCTGATATATTTTGGTGCTCTTTCGTTTGGTGAGTATATGTTAATGAGTGTTATTTCTTCTGAAGTATTGTCCCCTTGATCATAATGTAGTGACCATTGGGGTCTCTTTTTATTTTTTTGAGTTTGAAGTCTGTTTTATCTGATATAAGTATAGCTGTTCCCTGCTTTCTTTTGGTCCATTTGCTTGTAGGATTGTTTTCCATCCTTTAACTTTGAGCCTATTTTTATCTTTTGTAGCTAAATGTGTTTCCTGGAGACAGCAAAAGGTTGGGTTTTGTTTCTTAATCCAGGCTGCAACTCTGTGTCTTTTTATTGAAGAGTTTAGTCCATTTACATTTAGACTTAATATTGATATGTTAGCTTCTGTATTTGCCATTGTGTTTGTCTTTCCTTTGATTTCATTTATTTATTCTTTTAATAACTTTTTTTTTTGGCCTTCTTTTGTTGTTATTCGTCCCTCTGAGGTTCTGGCTTTAGGATTCCTTGTAGTATTTTTTGGAGTGGGGGTTTAGTCGTAATGAAATTCCAGAGTTTCTGTTTGTCTGGGAAGGTCCTTATTCTTTCTTCATAGAGGAAGGAGAGCTTTGCGGATACAGTATTATTGGTTGGCATCTGTTTTCTTGGAGTCTGTTGACTATGTCCCTCCACTCTCTCCTTGCCCGTAGTGTTTTTTCAGAGAAGTCTGATGTCAGTCTGATTGGTTTTCCTTTGAATGTTATCTGTTTCTTCCCTCTTGTCAGCTTCATTATTTTTTCCTTGTCCCGGATTCTTGGGAGCTTTACTATTATGTGTCTTGCTGTATTTTTCCTTTCATCGTGGAAGATTGGTGTTCTTCTTGCTTCTTGTATATCAATTTTCAGCTTCTTCTTCGCGTTTGGGAAGTTCTCTTCAATTATCTCCTGGAATATTTTCTCTGTTCCTACATCTCTCTCCTCTCCTTCTGGAATTCCTATAACTCTTATATTTCCTTTCCTCATGGAGTCAGATAGTTCCTGAAGTCTTTCTTTGTTCTTTTTCCTTCGTACCTCTCTTTCCTTTTCTGTTTTGGTTCTTTTTATTTCTGTGTCTTCAAGAGTACTTATTCATTCTTCCATTTCATCTATTCTGCTTTCATTGCTTTTCCCAGAGTTCTTTAGTTCCTCCATTAATTCTTTGATCTCCTGCATTTCTTTTGCTTCCCTCTTTAGGGACTCAATTTCATTCTTCTGATCGTTGATTATTTTTCTCATATCATTGTTTTCCTTTATGACTTCTGTCACTTTTTTAATCATGGCAATTTTAAATTCTCTTTCTGGAAGTCTCAGAAGTTCTTCCAAGTTACTGTCGTTGTAATCTGGGGGGTGGTTTTCTTTTTGTGGTGTGCTTTTTTCCTGAGGAGTTGTTAGGTTGCGTGTGGTTCTTCTACTCCCTACTGTCTGTTTTCTAATTTGTTGTATGCATTGGGACACTGTGTTGCTCGGACTGGCCGGCATCTTGGGTGAACTTCTCCGCTCCCCTCTGGCTCCTCCAGGAGCCATCTCTGGCTTCTGAGGGAGCTTTCTGCTGGTTTCAGGCAGTCTTTACTGAAGAAATGTCCCTGTTCTAAAATGGCGACGCGGGACACAGTCCCTGTGCATCCGGTCTCAGGCACACTCTTCTGCGCGCCCGGTCTGCCCCGGCCGTGGGTGCCTCTTCCCTCTGTGGCTCAGACTGCTGGTCGGAAGGGGCCTGGTGTGGGCTAACTTCCCAGCTGGCCACTGTCTCCTCCGGGAGCCTTCTGCCCTTTTCAAGCAGTCTTAAGAAATTGCCCTGTTCTATGGGGTGTTAGTGGCTTTTTTTTTCTGGTCGCTAGGTGGCGCCAGAGATCTCTCCTATTGTCCTTTGGGGGGCTGTTTTTTGCCTCCCCCCACCCCGTGGGACAGGGAACAGAGCGGGAATGGTAGGGTAAACCTCAACGGCTTTGGGGTGCTGTGTCTGCCTTGTGCCCCACCGTCGTGGAGAACCCATGCCCCGAATTTTGTGCCCCGGGTCTTAGTTCCAAAGCCCTCAGGTCCAGGACGCGGGCTGTAGCCCAGTTCAGTGGCGCGGGAATGGCGCCTTTTGCACCCGCTCCCGTGCCTGGGCGCCTGGTTCCTGCTTACTCAGTGAGGGACTTTCACCTCAGTGAGGGCCTCTGCGCCTCTCCCCGCAAGCCTAGGTCGCAGGCGCAGGGACCTGGGCAGCTGCGATCCCGATCCGCGTTTGCTTTTCAAGCACGCTAAGTGCGCCGCTTTTCCGCGCAAGCTTACCGGCTGGCCCAGGGCTGTGTGCGGGTCTCCAGAGTCTGTTCTCTAATCGCGCCCAGAGCCGTTCGCTCACCGCTGCGGCGAATCCTGCAGGGTTCTCCACAGCTCCCGTTCACGGGGTGTGGTGGCTGCAATAGTTCCTTTCCACTCACAGTCCCGCTTGCTGCATAGTTTGTTCTTGCTGGTCGTTTTAGTTTGTTGTTTCCCTCCTCTCTGCTGGTCGGAGAGTGCCGCCTCTGTGGGTGGGGGAGGGGAGCAGGGTTCTGCGCTTCCCTCCCTTCTGGTCCTCTTTCATGGCAACTTTCTTCTTCGGGCAGTTTGCTGGAATCACCCGTTTATCTTCCGTGTCCCAGTTCTCACTGGGACCAGCCGCTTTTCCTCCCTATTAACTTTTTTTAATGGGAGATCTTACTCGCAGCGTCTCCTCGCCGCCATGTTGCTCCACCCAATTCCTGAGATATTCAGTTCTTAAAAAATCAATTAGTCCATTTATCTCTTTTCCAATCCTACTGTGCTCTGAATAATCAGCATATCAAATTTTGCATTGCATACTCTGGTAGTCACACAGCCATGATGCACTTCTGCATTCTGGGTTTGACTCTTTGTGAACCCAGGTTCCTGGAAAACTAATCTATTGGAGCTAGAGTGGACCCTCTCCATCCCAACCCCCCTAGCCATTCTTCTTTCTTTTCAGTAAGCTCTAACAGGCCTTCCCTAAAATGAGGCATGTTCCCCTCACAGTACACTGTTTGAACAGTACTATTCATGTTCCATGAGTTTTGGTGGGTAAATCTCATTTTTTTTTTTCACATTTTCTTTTCTTTATGGCTAAGGACAAAAGTTTTTAGGTGGCACATCTGAAGTATAATCTGTTTGATTCAATCTGTTGTATTTTAAATTATTGCCTCCCTACTACATGAAGCTAATACATGCTGCTGTCTCTCAAAATAAGTACCTTCCTAAGAGTATCCTTGGCCTTCAACGACATACACCTCATGGTCTCCTTTGTATATGTTTAAAAACATCTAATTTTTAGGCTATTCATGGCATGAGATTTAAGATTATCTGCTCCTATTCTTAGATGGCTTAGCATTGTCAAGCCAATGCTAACACTTCTGAGTGAATAAAGAAAGTCTAATCATCACTGGTGGAAATTACCTAATATTATTTCCATGACTTAATGGTTAAAACACTTAAAGGGGGGCCTCCTTGGTGGCGCAGTGGGTTGAGCACCTCTCTGTGAAGTTGTCCGCAGCCTCTGCAACGCGGGTTCAATTCCTGGCCCACCAGGAAGAAACCTACATGGCGTGGCAGACCTCTCCTGCCTTGCCCACTGCTCCCCTCAGCTGTGTCTTTGGTCCGTCTGCCTGTTCTGCTCCCCGCTCTGTCTCTGGCTTGAATTCTCTCACCCTCTCACACCTCTGACTGTACCCCAGTTCTTGTATAAATAAATCAATCTTAAAAAAGAAAAAAACACCTAAAGGAAAAAAAAATGAAAAGAGAAGAGTTCTCATGAGAGGAATAGAAAGCAGTGAATGATACTCATCTCTCATCTCAAGATACTGCACAAAAGAAACCATCTCTACACTCTTGGGTACAGAGTATTCAGAAGAGGGATTGTTTTCAGCATTTTTTTTTAAAGATTTATTTATTTATTTATACAAGCACTGGGTACAGTCAGAAGAGCGGGAGGGTGAGAGAATTCACCAGAGCCAGAGCGGGGAGCAGAATAGGCAGAGCGACGAAATACACTGCTGAGGGGAGCAGCAGGTGGCAGGAGAGGTCTGCACGCCATGTGGGACCCTTGCCCGGCAGCTGGGGATCAAACCAGCGCTGCAGAGGCTGCGGGCAGCTTCACAGCCCAGGACTCAACCACTGCGACCAGGGGAGGCACTGTTTTCAACATTTTAAACCCTGACTTCTTCTGCATGTATGGCATAAGATTTGCTACACATTTTTTATTATGTTAAATTTAAAATTAAGCAAATATTATGGATAATTCTAAATCAAAGCATTGGAAGAAGGTATCTTGTTTTCAAACTAATATGCTACCCATCGTGATGACCTAAGTTCTTTAGGAAAGCATGGCCTTGCTTCGGACCTGCTGCATATTCAGTGGATGCACAGCAATCAGAGAGGAGAGATTTATAGAATGGGAGGGAGCATGTAGGAGTGGGCATTTCAATAAACAAAGCAAGACAGAGACCTCCATGGTGGCACAAGGGGTTAAGCACAGCACTGTGAAGCTATCCACACGTTATTGTTTTAAGATAATGTGTAGAAGTAGAATCAGAGTAGCTATCATTAAAAGGAGACATTAAATGATCATTTAGACAAAACATATACACACACTAATAAATGAAGCCAGAAGGCATTACATTGACAGAAATATTAGACCAGTAAATTCTGTAGTGTGAATCTTTGTATCACTGAGGAAATACATTTTTTAATGTAAGACAATAAAAAATGGTAGCATTGCACTAACAGGACATTAAATCAAATCTTGGTTATGCCAATTATTTCAATTTAGATATAGAATTTTACTTTTGCACAATTATCCATTCATTTTAAGTTGAATCAACACCTACAACACACTTGTTGGATGTCTAAATAAGGTGACATGTTTGAAAGTAGCAGATTCAAGTGATGATCTCTGCTGTTGCAATTTTCACTTTTGCAGATTTATATCCAGTTACCATATTCTACAACCTGAAAAAAATGAAAGGAACTTTAAAACTATATTCTGAAAGTTGCACAACTCAGTGGAAATACTAAAAATCATTGAAATGTATACAGTTTAAATGGGTGAATTGTATGGTATGTTTCATACTTCAAAAAAGCTTTAATGCACATTTATATGCATACATACATAATAAACATATATCTATATATACTTGCTTCTATATTTGTAACTTAGCTCCACAAACCTAGAAGCCTAGGGATCAAGAAGCAATTTCAATGCTTCTTCAGTATATTAGCAAGGAAAATAATTTCAAGAGCAAGAAAATGAACCAGGATCATGAGGATAAGCTACAGGGTTGAAAGGAATTCATCCTCCAAATAAACTGAAGCAGTTGTTGTGTAGGTCAAGTCATAAAATGTTCTATAGTGATGGTTCATGGGTGAATTGGTGGTGGGAATTTTACAGGGACTACACCTGAGAGAAGAAAGTATACTTGTACAAAAATGAACAATGTAACTTATGTAATTTATATATGTAAAGAATACATATATAAATAAGAAGAAAATGTCAAAAAAACAATTATCTGTTCTCCTGGGCCTCCTCGGTGGTACAGGGGTTAAAGCCTCAGTGCTATCAAGCTATCGCCAGCCACTGCAGCCTGAGTTGGATTCCCAGCCAGGGAGGTGACCCACATAGCCCAGCAGACCTCTCCTGTCTTGCCTGCTGCTCCCCTCAGCAGCGTATTTCAGTAGATCCACTGGTTCTGCTACCCACCCTGTATCTGGTAAATCCTCTCACCATGCTTCCCACCCCGTACCTCTGGCCTATACCCTAGTTCTTGTATGCATAAATAAATAAAAAGAAATCTTTAATAAAAAGAAAGAAAGAAACAACTATTCTGTTCTGGAAGGCACCACCGTTTTGCAAATTCGGGGAAATGATGGTGCCACTAATAATTCATTTGTGCTGTTGATATGAAAGTCCCTATGTAGATATACATTATCATTACATTATTATGTATGGTCCACAGATTTCATTATTGATATGTTTAGTATCAAAAGCAGGTTTTCCCCATTTGCTGCTGAATGAAAATTTATAAAGCAATATGATCTTGTTATTATCATTACTCAGTCCATTTGGAACTTGTCACATTTCATCCTCACCTTGACTAAGCATGTGATTGATGCTGTGATACTGTATTGTCTGTGTATTTTAAGAGTATATCATAAGTGAGAAAACTAAATAGGCAGTCAGTGTTTTTGATCTAGCTTTTTTATATCAAAACTTTTTGAGGGACTGTAAGCCATGTTACTTTCCTGGTTTTACAATCATAGATGTCACCGGCCCCTACTAACACTTATCAATTATACTTTATGTAGGGTATGGGGGTTGCATTTCTGACTTACTCTCCAAGTTCATGTTCCTTTGTTTTCTAATTCACGTATGCCAGGCCTGACCCTATTCCTTTAACCTAGCTTGGTCCATTCTCACAACTTACAATTGACAACATATCCCCTATAACCTCTCATTTTGCAATCAATCTTCTCCCAGGTTTAAGTTTCTTTTATGCTCCAGGTTTTTATTTTCAGTATTGCCAACTGATCTTGGCTTACCCACATTGATTTACTATTCCCCAAATTATATTTTTTTTAACATTTTCCACTCTTGGCTTCTACAAGTTATTTTATTTACATAAATTAAGGTATTAAGACAAAATAAGCCTAAGCACTAGTTCCCTTAGTTGGCATCTTTCATTTGAGACAGCAAGAGGAAGAAAGGAGACTTGAGTAAACCATTTTCATTTGCCAAAGATCTTTCTCTACTAATTCTGCTTATACAAAACCAACATATTAATCTGGGCCAGATTTACTTGACCAGTGTCAGCATGATCCTAACATAACACTGACTATCTAAGTGACTGCCTTACTTAAAACCTACTGTAATATGATTTGCAAGTGGTTTTTCCTTTTCAGTATCATTTTGAGTTCCTTAGCCTCCAGTCACTATATACTTTGCAGGTACCTGATTATTCCTTCTTTCTCTCTCTCTCTCTCTCTCTCTCTCTCTCTCTCTCTCATACTCTCTCTCTCTCTCTCTCTCTCTCTCTCTCTCTCTCTCTCTCTCTCTCTCTCTCATAGCTCTGTCTTTTTACAGAGGACTCTGATGCAGACAAACAGTGAACACCACTAAGCATTAATTGAATGTTCTAAGCTTGGGACAGCATGTTTAATGCTGGGAAATGAAGATCACTAAGACTAAAATCCTGTGCTCAAGCAGTTCACAGTCCAGAAGGAGAAGATAGGCACGTCCTTAAATAATTAAGTTGATGCTTGACTAAAATCTTCAGAGACAAGAAGAAATTTGTTAGGCATATAAAATAGTAAGTGGTATCGTGGCAAAGAAAATAGCATGTGCAAATTCAAACTCTATCAGTGCTATCGATCTGGTTCTCTCTGAGGAATTCAACTTCATTCTTGAAACTATGTTTATCTTTTGGTATAGACAGACAAGTAATGACTGAGAAGGTGGAGTATAGTGAGCAGTGTTGCACCACAATGAAAGATAACTTTGAATAGGCAAGGTCTTCAGTAGAAAAGGGTTGAAAGGCAAAAAAAAAAAAAAAAAAAAGTCTTCTCTCTTCACTTAGCCAGCTGTGTACAAAAAGAGATTGAAATATATATATTTCAATTCATGATTCCTTAATGCAGAACTTACAGTATTTGAAAATCCTCCTTTGATTAAAATAACTACATTTAGCCCACTTCAAACTTTTATGAATAAGGAAAGTAATCTTTGCATTTTAAATAATAAAATCAAAATTTTAGATGGACATTTGCTAAAATATTTTTATTTACAAAAAAAAAAAACCATAAAGTGCCATATTGAATAACCAGGATCACTCAGCTTTAAAAGGAAACCTGATTCAAGTTTTTTAATTTTTAATCCACTAATAATTCCACCAAATATTCTATATCTACCTTTGATCTTTTTTGGTCTCCATAGGTCAAAGTTGGGATTCCTGCTGTTCTAGTTGAGATTGGATATAAAATCCAATCTACCTATATATAAACCCTATGTCCTTTTATTCATTCCAATCCTAATCTAAAACCAATCACTCATCTGAATATTTTATATTTAATTCATATTCAGTTGTCATTTAATTAGTACAATTTCTGTAGACCATAAAAGACATAAAGCTCAATCTCTGAAACATTTTATACAAATTCAGAGCAAAATTAGTCAATTCTTATTCTGTATCAAGAATATTCTAGAGTTGTCACCCACATGGGTCCTTTCCCTACTTTTATCATAGAATAACTGCAAAAATCTTACAAGCCTCTACCTCCTGGAAGATATGAAGAGGTCTAGAGATGGTATCTGATTAAAGATGAGCCAATCAAAGTTCTTGTCACAGTCTTACTAATTAGAAATGAATAAAGGGATTCTGCGAGGGTAGAAACTGCAAGGTTCAATGCTCAAGAATTCTTGATATATTAATCCCCACTATGTGGATTGAGTGGACTTGCGGGGTTACAGAATGTTTGGAACATATATGGCAAAGCATGGCTATGAGCAGAGTAAAGGCATGGGCCACCCTCTACCAGTTTTATAAGCCCTGAAATTTAACTGTATCACTATACTTCTCACTGGTAGGGGCCAAAATTTTTCCACTTTTTAATCTGCTTCCTCATTTTCTACCACAAGGTTGGGATTAACAACCTTTCAAAACACTTCAAATGTAATTGTCATCACTGTCATCCAAATCTGAAAAGTTAGCATATAACTCTAAAACCTCATCGTATATATATATATATGTGTATATATGTGTGTGTGTGTGTATATATATATATATATATATACATGTGCATATGTGGATATTATATGTGACAAATATATATATACACACACATATATTTCATTTATTTGAACTAATTAGCTCATGATTGTGGACATTAAAAAGTTTTAAATCCTTATAACAAAGGCCAGGAAGTTGGAAAATCAGGAAGAATTTTAAACTTCAGACTCAAGGCTAAAAATCTTCTCCAGGAAAGCTCAGTTTTTCCTCTTAAGGTCTTCAACAAGGCCCATGTACATTATGGAGGGTAATCTGATGTAGAAGTTAACCACATTTCCAATATTAGTGTTTGATTAAGCAACCTGTGTACTATAGGCTAGTTGAAACATAAGATTGTTGCACCGTCCTTATTCCACAAATGTCTAAATAATTAGATGACAGCTTCCAAATATCTTGTAAGTTGTTTTTGTTCTCTAATTTGGGCGGGAGGTGGAGAGGAGAGATCTCCTTAGAATAAATACTCCTAAGCTTTAAATTTAGCCTCAGGATGTTGAAGTCAATTATAAAGCACTCAGATAATATTCTTGCTTGCACTGTATAAAGTCAGCAGAAGACCCTGAAGTGAATTACAGCCCTGAAGGCACAATAGAATCATCAGTTACTATTCTGAATATAAAGATCAAGAATTTCCTCAGTAGTAGGTAAAAACTGTTGTGTAAAGTCATGTATGCAATATTTCCTATTGAGCATTATATAGAAAAACATGAATATTTCCACTAAAAATAGCATTGTGCTAAGTCAGCATCTGCTAAAATAAAGTTTTAGAGAGTAATGCTTATTTACTTAATCCAGCTGCCCTTCGGAGGCCACATTAGAAAACAAGTGTACTTTAAAATATCTGATAAGTACTAGAATACTACACAGAATAATTTGTTCATGCTTTTCTTTTTAACATAACAGTTCATCATTCATTTAGGATTTCCTTTCTTTAGAAATGCTGTTTTTGTGCTACTGTATATGTAAATACTTACATGCTCCTTTATATATACTGTTTTATTTGATACATGGAGTGAATGGGTCAGTGGGATGATTTTAGGATCAATAATTTAGCATAATAATCTTCCAAAAATGCAGCAAAACAAGAAAAAGTATCACACTAGATATCAAGAGATGTATGTTTTGTTTAAGCCTTGGGAAAAAATATTTCATCCTAAAACGTGAAGAAAACTT